CATTTTTTTCATTTTTACGCAAAAAGTCCATAAGGGGTTTCCAGTCACCAATCAATGTAGATCTGGTCTTTTCTCTAGTCAAACAAGTCAATTTAGCCATTTCAGCAAGTTCTGTCATCTTCACCCACCATTCCTCCTGCTCCCATGGCCATGTTGAGTTTGGGCATTATGGGAGGTGAAGTCCATGGCATCTAGAGGGCATCCGGTTGGCCAAGCATCCAAAGCCTCCTGGGGTTCTTAATATCCTGCATTGTATTTCAGACGGAGCTGTCAGAATCCCCCCACAGGAAGGTCCTCGGGTGGAGAAGGACCCAAGGTCAGCGCCAATCCTTCCCGTGGCATCCTGCAGCCCCACTGAACCCCCCTGGCTGTCTCTGGCTAAGAAAAAGGCCAAAGCATGGAGTGAAATGCCTCAAACCGTTCAGTAGCAAATTAAGAAACCTTCTCACATCCTGCCGGTAGCAGTATTAATAGCCGAAAGTTCACCGTGACCATGTTTCTAGGCGTCTGAGAAATGGAAGAGTTTGTCGAGGAGGAAACAGGATGACTTTTTCACTTTGTAATTCCCGAAAGAAGGCATTTCTTGAGACTACCATCCGAAGTCATTCCTTGCTTGCTGCTCAATGAACCACAATCCAGGCAGATCAAGACTTTTGCTGAGATGAACTGGGTGTTCCTCTTGCTCTTAATTCCTTCCACAAATCAGTGTTTTCGCGAGGCGGAAGAGATTGTGCTGGAATTTCTGTCCTGTCTTACAGCCTGTTGGGCTGAGTAAAACGTGTAGAGGATCTAGACGTGTGTTTCCCAAACTTGGCAACTTTAAGATGGGTGGACTTCAACTCCAAGAATTAGCTGGCTGGGGAATTCTGGGAGTTGAAGTCCAGCCATCTTAAAGGATGTTGGCTGGGGAATTCTGGGAGTTGAAGTCCACCCATCTTAAAGTTGCCAAGTTTCAGAGACACTGACATGTGGATCCTGGCTTGTAGTTCTCCTGCCACCAGCAGTAAAGATATTTACATCTTTTCTCTGCCCAAGTCAATAGATTTTCTTATTCCAGTGATTTCTGCAGCTGCCAGATCAAGAAATTGGCTCTGGAATTAACCCGTTTCTTTCCTACCCTGACCACTTGCTAGAACTCCTCAACTCTTAAGTGAAATCTCTTTTGGCTCTGCAAGAGAGATCAGAAAAGCAATACGCCCTTTTTATTTTTGTCTGTTAGGTTTTTTATGTCAATAAAAAATTTGAATATAAGTAGATGCCGTTCGTTCATTTTTGTAATCGTCTTTCTGGATCACCACCTCCTGTATTTGTTTTATTCTTAAATGCCAGAGTCATCTCATCGGCTTTTGCAGGGAGTGATCTTTGTCGCGCATGTGGACATGACAGATGCAGGACTGTTTCCTTTTGTCACTCCCCTCTCCCTCCAAGATCACAACCTGCTTGCTTTTGGTAATAAATAATTTAACTTCCCAGGTCTTTTAAAACTTTTTTTTTTTCCAGTGCCGCCGAGTCAGTGTTGACTCCTGGCGACTGCCTGGCAAGTCCCTGCAGTTTTCTTGGCAAGATTTCAGACATGGTTTGCCATTGCCTCCTTCCTAGGGCTAAGGGAGAGTGACTGGCCCAAGGTCACTCAGCTGGCTTTGTGCCTAAGGAAGGACTAGAACCCAGAGTCTCTCGGTTTCTAGCCTGGTGCCTTAACTACTACACCAAACTGCCTCTCAAAAACACACTGATAATGGCCTTTTTTAATTCACCAGCAGAGGGCAGAAATACCTTTATAAAAAGAACCGTCAGGAGCCGATTTAAATTGCTTTTCAGGTTTCCCATCCTGTGCAACTGAAATCCGTCCTGCCTTGCGCCAAATGTGGTCTGGGGCCCTGATCCAGCGCACTGAATTAAAGCAGAAATCCCACTTAGCGCTTTTCTGGAAGTAAGGCTGCACAGCCTTGCAACTCACTCTCATGTGAGGTTTTCCCTTTGACGCAATTTTTTTAAAATTAATTTTTATTGAAGTTTTTTTTTTTTTT